GGTTTTGTGGGGGGGGGGGGGGGGTGTGGGGGCTCTCCTATATGAATTTCAGAGTGTATTACAGGTTGAAAACAATTAAAGTTACAACAAGTTTTAACCTCATATAAGAGTAAAGTTCCAACCTTCAGTCACTTTAGAATGAGGTGGACAAAAGCAGAGAGTGGGGCACAACTTACAGTCAATGGAACAATTTGTACCAAAACAAAATCAGTTTTGGTTGTTAATTTCACCCCCCTCACAATATAAAGCATTATTATTACGAATTCGGTTGAATTGGTAAATTAATTTAATTAACTAATTGTGCAATTGAACTGTGGTTCCTTCGTTGTGTGTTTTCTAGTCTAGTTTTGCAAGAAAATTGGAGGCAGAAAAGATCTTGCTTCCAGAGTCCAGACTTAAGTAATTTTGCAAATCACAACCTACGCACGCTCTATATAGGTCACACATAACACGACCAAATCATTCGACCGTTATTCGCAACGATCAGAATTATGATAACGTTGTGAATTGTTTTGCATTCCCAACACTGTGTGAAAGGACATGGACTGGATCTCGCGATGAGTCCAACCTGCCATCTTGCCACGTTCCAGCGCTGGTAGAAAACAACAGGAAAGAACTGGGCGGTCTTACCTCGAAGGTATCCACACGATTGAATAAGTCATCGGCCACTGCTCAGCGATTGGATGACATTTTCATTTGCCCCGCCCACAATGGCTTTGTCTGGACAGTATTGGTCGAATGTTCAGTCACTCAAAAGGGGGACGGGCTGCTATGGGCCTCGGTGTATGAAAGCATAGGGATTTGATTTTTGCAGGGCATCAGTACCAGAACTGAAACTGGAATTGCAATCAATTAATTTGTTAAAGAACAAGAAACGTCGAAGAACTTTCACTTGCAATGGCTAAGAAAAATGCAAAGGGACCAGTCAAAAAAGGTGTGTATGTTTTGTCGTCAAAAATACGTGCATTTCTGCGAAGGCCTGAAAGTTAATCGGACGGCAAGATTGATTTTGTTTATCTAATTTAAACGCCATGTGAATAAATGATAAACAAGTAAAATAATTAGAATGACCCCAATGCATTGTGTCGGCTACAGTCGTGATATGTAAACTACGCTAGTTGTGTTACACTGTAACCACAAACAGTTTTTGAATCGTTGCTACATTCTGAGCGAGTAAGAACTTTTCTGTCCAAAACGGGTGTATTAAACCCCCCTGAACGTGTCTATACACTTGGAAAATTGGACGAAATGGTTGCAGAACTTCTGCATGCTTTTTTAATCGTAACTTACTTGCACGAGCGCCACAAGGCCTAGTTTATCGTACTGTTTGTTAATTCCGACAGCAGCAAATGACCTACATTTTCAGATATACATTTTCAAGAGTTGCCCCAGTGCGAGCTCTTAAATGCCCACGTGTCAATATTGGGAGAGCGTGGGAGGGGTTACACGTGTCCTCTAGGGTCCCATGTCCCCACACACTCTGTAATTAAAAATACATTCTGCCACACTGCAGGACCCCACTGCTGGTTAACAACGTCCTGGCGTTGGGTTTAGCTATCTAGCTATTATTATTGACTTTAGTAAGTGCGTGGTTATTATGTAAGAGTGGTAGATGAACTATCGGACTTTTGAAAGTATATGAACTCTTACAGTGAAATTTTAGACACGGGGTATAGATTTATCATATGTGCTGCTGATTCTTAACTGTAGAAAGGTTAATATTAACGTAAAAACGGCGTAAAATGTTACCGTAAAAACCGTTAAATTGGTAAACTGTAAGTTACATCACCATATACGATTAAAATATGTATATACATGCAGGTATACTGTAGAACTGTTTTCAGTTATATTATATTTATTTTGTGTTTCCTGTTTGTCAGGGCAACTGTGCGCTTTCTATTTATGTTTGTTAGCTACTGTTCATGGTAAAGCCTGTTTTGTTCATGGAAAAGCTTAATTCATCATGTGGCCTCCTTATTTTAAAACCTGAATTATTATGGTGGTTATCTCTATATTTTGAGCCAATAAAGCAGACCAAGCAGATTTGAATAAATGCAGTTATGGACTGTATACCTGAGTACAGGAATCAAATGCCATCATATTTCTATGTTGTTGGTGTCTGTGAGGTGCCACTTGAACCACCATTTCTTATTTGCCATAAGCATTCCAATTCTCTCCAATAAACGCTACATTTTATTGTGTTTATCCATTATGGAACACTTTTCCTGTAATGATAATAATCTAGAGCCACACCCATTTAAATATCTACTGAAGGTTAACAGTTACAAAATCACTATCCTTAGATTGATGCATTTATAATGCATTGCTTTGTAAAGTGAACTCAGCTGTTCATAAAGTGGTGCAATGCCCTTTTATCAAATGTCAAAATCATTGCTTTCAGGGAACATTTCAGCTGCACAGAATAACTTGCTGAGTGCCACAGAAATGGTAAAGAAATGACAGCCTGTCATGACATGCTTGCATTTTGTTTTTGTTTTTTTCTCAAGCATTTCTCCATTGATTCCACTGTTCTGTTCAAATAACCTTGCATGTTTGTTTTTCCAAGGGCATTTAATCCAATGCAATTCTCTGACATGTGGTTGTGTAGAATATATTTTATTTTGACTTTGGTAAATGCAGTGTGCATCTCACAATATTAAATGTACTCTTTCATGCATAGAGTGAAGAATGCATTTGTGTGTGTTTAACAAGCAACACTATTGGCATTCATAAGAAAATCTGGACTAAATAATGTTTACATATGCAACATTTGAACTCCTGTTGTGACATCAGAAAACCCACTGGACTTTTAAACCAGTGTATGATCTATTGTTCTACAGCAGTGTTAGCTTGCTGGTCATTCAATATTCCAGTCGGGGGTGTATATGCTGATAAGATCACATAAGGGGTTAATGTCCAGGGTTTGTTCCTCTGACCAGACAGGAACTGCTTGCTTTACACAGTGGGGTGTGTAGGTACGACTGAAGAAGAGAGGGTAATTCAAGGCACACATTCCACTACAATGTTATGCAAGCTAGACGATGAACATTGTGTACCACAAAGGCATAGTCGAAGCAACGACAAAAGCAGTGCATGAGTTACAAAAAGAGTTTGAGCACTGTTTTTCATAGCAGGTATAAATGGGGGAGGGGAAGACGTTGATTAGGTCATAATGGCAGCTGGAAAACGCCTTCCAAAGTTTGATTTGCATGTCATTAAAACGCATGTATGTAGTGAAGCAGTGTATCCTCCATTGTGTGCTACTCTTTTGTTAAGTATAGTAATTTGGAAGGCCATTCAGCCTTTTCAGCTTTCATATGTGACTAAGAACAGCAGGATGGAGTGGGATTTGCCTCTACCCTTTCGTATGGGTGCTTGAGATTTTCTGGCTTTCAAGCGGACAGTTCTAAAAATAATCCATTTGCTGGTCGAGTTCCATATTAAGTTCCGGCTCAATTCACAAGGAACAAAAAGGCAGGAGACCTGCTGTTGTTACAGGGGTTTGGGGTAGGATTGGGGTGAAAGACGCTCTCTTCTTCCCCACGTTGCTTGGAGGAATGGGGGAGCCGAATGCAGAGGTCAAGGTGGTGAACGAAGAAACCGGTATAGTATTTTTATGATTTGGAATAACGTTTTATGACAAGAGATGACATTTAAAAAAATCATGGGGTGTGAGAGAAAGCCTTAACATTTGGAAATGAATGTAATCTTATTTAATACTTTATTTTTATGGTACATTTGTGGTTTGTGTATATGAGCAGCAACAATTTAATGTTTTTTTTTGGGGGGGAGATGGCTTAGGTACCTTAAAAATGTATTGTTATAAAGTTTTAATGTGCAGTCAGTTTATATATGCACCTGTGCAAACTACAAAAAGAGAATTTATTTTGTCGTAACACTTTAGTGTTGTTATTGCTCTCTGTATATCTGTTACTAACGTTTGTAGCATGCGTGTGCGCATGAACAAATGTGTGGTTTGACCTAGCAGAACGTAGCGGACAAAACACCTGTTCATTCTTCCTACTAGAGCTCTGAATGCAGATGTATTTATACCGCAGTTCCATGAGGAGTGTCAACAGGCCTCAGAATAACTGCACTTTTTTAGACTCTTGTCGCCTTGTGATTGCTATAGATGTGATTTCATGTGGAATATTTAAACATCTTACAGGGAATCTTTCATCAGAACCAGACATCTATTGGATTTTATACAGCATTTGAATATAGAAAGAATTGATTGGTCTCCAGTTTTTTTTCAGCTTCAAAGCTATGTTACATAGTCTATTAACTAGTGGCCTTGAGTGAATACTTGTGTGTGCCGTAATACTAAAGGACTAATCTCACTTTCAAAGTCATGGTTTAATTTTGAGCATGCATTCTTCGTTCACATGAGGGTTTTGCTGTGCTGCATTGATTTGATTTTGTTAAATGAAAATGTTTTATATTCATAAACACTTTTTTTCAATTTCTTCCTGATATTGTATAATCTTATTCTTTTATACTTCAGAGGCCAAGCCACAGCAGGCACATAAAAATGGAAAGAAGGCAGAAGTTGGAGGAGGAACCTCGTTTTTCACCTGGTTCATGGTTTTGGCTCTCTTGGGCGTCTGGACCTCTGTAGCTGTGGTGTATTTTGACCTTATTGACTATCAAGGTGTAATTGGTGAGTCTTTGGTTTCTATTATTTAGAGTTTTTTTTAATAAATGGTTGTAGTTTTAAAAATACTTTTTACATATGTTATATGTAATTTTTTTTGTATATCTGGTCTTAATTTGCATGCAGCCAAAGCAAAGGACTTGCGCTATAATCTTTCAGAGGTATTACAAGGTATGAAATCTGAACAAGTGAATAGAATCATCACCATAAACCTCATTTCTTTGAACCTCTCATCTTCAGTTACAGAGTAGAGAAGTGAATTTGATTGTTAGTTCTGTTTTAGTGTAATTTTTCATACTTTAATATAAACGCACACTACATTTTATATAAATTTACTCTATAAGTTTGGGGTCAGTGAGATTTTGTTTTGAAAGAAATAAATTTTATTTAGCAAAGATGCATTAACTTAAGACTGGAGTAATGATGCTAAAAATTCTGCTTTGCTATTGCAGGAATAAATTACTTTGAATTAATTAAAATAGAAACCAGTAATTTTACATTGTAATAATAATAGTTCACAATTGTACTGTTTTTACTGTATTTATTTATTTATTTTTTAAATGCAGCCTCGGTGTGCATAAGACACTTCTTTCAAAAACTTTAAAACACTGACACCAAAACTTTTGGACTGTAGTGTATTTTCTAATCATTTGAATTTGATAAAATGTTAATCTAATGTTTGTTAATGACTTCTTGAGGAAAGTTGTTATAACGTGTTACCATGCAGGTTTACTTGTTTACTTACAGAACTATATCAAATAGTACAAGGTTTCTTTAAGACATGTCCTTAATCTTATTTGAAATAAGACAAATACGAGCAATTTCACAGCGCTATTTGTAGGACCTTTAGTTTCAAATATGGCACAATGAATTATTCACAACCCATGTCAAATGACTAAATGAGATTCACTTTACTTTACTAGGTAAACTCGTGTCCTATGATGCTGATGGTGATGGAGACTTTGATGTGGAAGATGCTAAAGTACTACTAGGCAAGTGAAGTGATTTCCAATGAAATTTTCTACCAGATGATATTTTGCATGACTGACTTTGGTTCACTTTTGTGCAGTTTTGAATGAAATCAGACAGATGCACGTGCATGGTACTTTCATCATTTTGTTCAAACAACATTCCATTTTGGAGAAGAAGTGATGAGAGGTTATTGCCTTATTGCATGAGTTTGTAAATTAGACCAACTTGCTAGTATTACATTTAAGGCAAAGTCATGTGGTAAGGAGAGAAAATAAAGAGATTTATTTTCTCATTTAGCATGTAGTTTAACTGATTTCACAACAAACAGCCCCATTAGTCCTTCCCATGCATGCCCCATTTCTCCTTTACTTCATCTTACGCTTTTAATAGCAGCGTTACCCTCTTTTTTTATAGCACTGAATCCTTATCTACTAAACCTTGCAAACCAACACCACCCTCTCTCTATTTTCTTGCTCTCCCACTGTTCTTTCTTTCCCTCTCTTTCTCTTTTTCCTTATTCTCCCGTTTGCGTAGGGCTGACCAAAGATGGCAGCAAAGAAAACTCAGACTCCCTTGAGGAAGTCCTCGATATTTTAGCGGAAGAGGGCAATGATTGGTTTCAAGGTTTCTTCACCTTCCTTTATGACATTATGAGTCCTTTTGAAACGCTAGAGGATGAAGAAACCGAGGCAGCAGCGGAGGATGTTGCTGGCGCGTCACAGACTGAAGGGGTTCAGGGCCAAAAGACATGCGTTATTTTAGGCCTTCAAAATCAATAGTCATGTTTTCTACCGCATTTGTGACAGATGCACTTTATTAGAGGAGGACTTGCTCCTTTGACGACTTGATTCTGTTCCTAACACTTGAAGAAATATTTTGTTGGGAAGATCGCCAACAGTCACTTTGGGACCTGTGAACTCTTGAGAAGATGATGTCATTATGAACATTTACATATTTGTAAATATTGAACTTGTGTAGTTTATGCTTCATTGCAGCTCTTTTGCAACGGCTGTTTCCAGCTACTAATACTCTATTTACCTTTTTGCATATGACCTTAGTGTGCTGTAAGTTGAACATATCACCTTTGCTGCATGCCTCAGTTCCCTTATATCACGAACAACAGTATGTATTTCTATTTGAGTCTTGCAATTTAACACTGTACATGTGACATCTTGTTTATAATCTGATTATCATTATCATTTCTCTCTGTCTTTAGGATCTGAATAGTTTATTTTGAGCCGTTTAATATCATTACAATAATTGCATTTTGGGGTGATTTGCATCCTCAGCAACTCAGCGGAGATGGATCTTTTTGTGTTTTATATTTCCTTTAAACTTAATTTTTTTTACTGCTCAATACAGAATAGGCAGTTTTATATGACATTGTCAGTTGTTACGTTGTTTTTGTTTCTTCTTTGTCATGTGAGTTGCCTTTGCTCTCCTGAGTCTCCTCCATCAGAGATTTAGAGAATAATGATAGCTTAGAGCTACAGTATGAATATATCCCACCCCTCTTGCAGTATTACCTCAATTAACAAACTTCAGGTAGGAAATTTGTACTATGGTGTAAATGGATGTGTAGCTGATTTAAAGGGATGGTTCACTCAAAAATGAAAATTGTCATTAATTACTCACCCTCATGTCGTTCCAAACCCTAAGACCTTTGTTCATCTTCGGAATACAAATGAAGATATTTTCGCAAAGAAAACAAAAATAACGACTTTATTCAACAATTCTTCTCCGCCTTATCCCGTCTGCAGCAGCGTGCCACCATTGTAAAGTCATAATTTTTGTTTTCTTTGCGCACAAAAAGTATTCTCGTAGCTTTGTAAAATTACAGTTGAACCACTGATGTCACATGGACTATTTTACAGTTGTCCTTGCTATGTTTCTGGACCTGGGAACATTGCAGTTGTGCTGCTGTCTACGGAGGGACAGAGAGCTCTCGGATTTCATTTAAAAATATCTTAATTTGTGTTCCGAAGATGAACAAAGGTCTTACGGGTTTGGAATGACATGAGGGTGAGTAATTAATGACAGAATTTTCATTTTTGGGAGAACTATCCCTTTAATAAATGGGTGTCAATTCAGGAACTTCATCAGTTCATCAGCCAAGAATTAGTTCAGTGGCGTGTGTAGGAAACGTCTCCTGAACCCCAGAGTTCTGTAACCGTCAACAATCAGTTCCTACCTGCCACTCTAAAGCACCTGAAACGGTGTGCCTGATAAGTAATACAGTGTTTATATGGCTCCTGAAATACTAGGAGGGAATTGAGAGGGCTATGAATGTGAATGTTAAATATTTTGTATGCAAAAAGTACCGTATGCAGGAATTATTTACAGAATGGCTGCTTTTGTGTCTGGAAGTGTGTAGAATTAGGAATTTAGCTTAGATTGAAAAAAAAAAATCTTCATTATCACTTTAATACCACTTATATCACAATTATGCTTTCAAATATTTCAAGTACAGTTTAAGTGTTATTTTGGTAAATTAACAATTCAGATCTTTTGGTTTAATTATTTTGCAATTGTTGCCATATGTTAAAGTTGTTGGTTTGGCTTTTTTGTTGTTAATAAGATTGCTTCTCCTCATATGTTGTACAAAAATACACTGCTTGCAGATAGTGATTTTGTAACTTTTTTTTTTTTGTTCAAAATCATTTTTACAGAGATTTTCTATCAGAATTATTTGAAATTATTAGACATCAAGCACTGTGTTTTACAGAGCATTGCGCATGACGACCCAATCAATAGAATCAGACCAGACATGAGTGAATGGGCTGTATATTCTCTGACATCATTAGTGTCAAAGAAATGTATGAAGAAGACCTCAAAGGCAGGATTTAGGCCTACATTGAACAACTGTTTTAAGTAGCAGTCACTGACTTTATTTGTCTGTCTCATTTAAATTAGATGAAAAGAAAGAGGTTTCCAGGAGAAAAGGAGGTATTTTGCACACTTGGTCTGAGTGCATGCAGCAGACTAGCCTCTAGTGTGGTTTGGGATCTTGGAAGGCGTTTACTTGATCAACTTGTTTCTGTTTGCATGACTGAGCTGACATGAGATATTTTAAGCTACATATTATTTTTGTGTTTAACCAAGGAGTGTTTAACAATACCACCTTTTTAGTTGGCATTTATGAGTTTGCATGGACAATGATGACTTGACAAGGAACTACATGCACATGTAAGCCTTGTGTATACTTTTTCCAGGCTATTTGCAAATAATATTGGGGAACTGTGGACTTGTTATAAACATCCTAAATACATAATCTAATATAATGTGTACAGTAGTGATTCTCAACCTGAGAGCCAGGGCTGTCTAGGGAGCCATTCCAAACTTCCACAGCCACAGGATGATTTGAATTATTTACATGTAGTTTTTTCTTAGTTTTTTCCATAAGCCAAGAATTTATTGAAGCATACAGTACAATCACATGAATTTTGGTCAATTCATTTAATATATCACGACTTACAGTTTCTGTTAAAATTTTTTTAAATGATAATTTTATCATTTGTCATAATTACAGCAGAAATACTTGAAATATTTAACCTATATGGTGGGCCTTCGAATATTCTGTAGGACAGCTGGGGGCCGTCAAGTTAAGTAAGTTGAGAACCACTGGTGTGGAGGATATCACAAACATACTAATGAGGGAGTTCTGATGTGAAATGATTTGCATCATTACAACTAATTGCGTTGTGGCTTGAGGTGTGTGTAGTGATAAGATTTAGTTACCATGATTACATCATCAAACAAAGTTTCTCCCCAGAGCTTTCCCATACCAAAGATGTTGGGTTGAAGCTAAGGGAAGCTCTGAAACAGCAGCTCACCATCATCCACGAGAGAGTGGAGGCTAGGAAGATAGCTAAATTGGCTCTGGCGGAAGTGAGGAACATCCTAGCCAAAGAGGAGGAAGAGAGGACCTTGAACCATATCAGGGAGGAGTCGGAAGCCAAGGCCTGGGAGAGAGCTGAGGCTCGGCTGAAAGAGGAGGGGGAGAGAATAGAGAAGGAGGATGTGGAAAAGGCCATGGCAAGAATTAGAAAGGAGAAGGAGGAAAGAGAGAAAATGGCAGAAGTTGAAGAAGCAAAGAAGACTAAGAAGGTGGAAAAGGATGAGGTGAAGGAAAAGCCAGAGGCTGAAAAGAAATCTCACGAGAAACCCGTTGTTGATGACGATGCTAAAAAAGTTGAGAAAAATGGAAAAGGCAAAGAATCCAAGAAGGCTGCAGCTAAAAAGAAACCGTAAGGCAGCAAATCAGCTACTGTTAGATCTTTTTGTCTTTTGTGTAATTTGTTAACATCTGGCTGAATTTGATCTCAGGCCATTGTGAGTCTCCAGAGACCACCCCTTGTAGACTGAAGGCAAGACCTTTTGTCTCTATATATGAGAGATAATCAGTGATGTTAATCAGAACATTGAGATTAGTAGAAGCAAAAGCAGAACAAGGTGCTATATGCCGATCGTCATGTGGAAGTTCTTTTATTTCTCTTAAAAAATGTCTGTTTTGTTTGAGGGTAGGATTTTGGTTTACTCTTACAAAATACTAGCTATAGTGTGAGATTTCAACATTGATGTTCCTCTGATTTTGTTTATTTTATAATAAATACAACAGGTAGCTATACTTTATTAAGAGAGAACGTTCTTGTGTTATCAATAAACTATATGAATCCCCTGATTTGTTTTATCTGTGCCTTGAGTGCTTTTCTTTTCAGTGTTGATTAATACAAGAAAAACAAGCAGTTGTATTAAAACTGGACAAGAATACATGTCTGTTCACTAATAATATCTATAAACGTTTCCTTTTACCTCTCCTCTGTTTTCCTATTGGTCTGTTTCAAATCTCAAACACATACCTTTGTGCCTGTAAAACAAAGGACAGAAAAAGCTCTAGTGCAAAAGTAAACCAAATATTACAGTTGAACCACTGATGTCACATGGACTATTTTACAGTTGTCCTTGCTATGTTTCTGGACCTGGGAACATTGCAGTTGTGCTGCTGTCTACGGAGGGACAGAGAGCTCTCGGATTTCATTTAAAAATATCTTAATTTGTGTTCCGAAGATGAACAAAGGTCTTACGGGTTTGGAATGACATGAGGGTGAGTAATTAATGACAGAATTTTCATTTTTGGGAGAACTATCCCTTTAATAAATGGGTGTCAATTCAGGAACTTCATCAGTTCATCAGCCAAGAATTAGTTCAGTGGCGTGTGTAGGAAACGTCTCCTGAACCCCAGAGTTCTGTAACCGTCAACAATCAGTTCCTACCTGCCACTCTAAAGCACCTGAAACGGTGTGCCTGATAAGTAATACAGTGTTTATATGGCTCCTGAAATACTAGGAGGGAATTGAGAGGGCTATGAATGTGAATGTTAAATATTTTGTATGCAAAAAGTACCGTATGCAGGAATTATTTACAGAATGGCTGCTTTTGTGTCTGGAAGTGTGTAGAATTAGGAATTTAGCTTAGATTGAAAAAAAAAAATCTTCATTATCACTTTAATACCACTTATATCACAATTATGCTTTCAAATATTTCAAGTACAGTTTAAGTGTTATTTTGGTAAATTAACAATTCAGATCTTTTGGTTTAATTATTTTGCAATTGTTGCCATATGTTAAAGTTGTTGGTTTGGCTTTTTTGTTGTTAATAAGATTGCTTCTCCTCATATGTTGTACAAAAATACACTGCTTGCAGATAGTGATTTTGTAACTTTTTTTTTTTTGTTCAAAATCATTTTTACAGAGATTTTCTATCAGAATTATTTGAAATTATTAGACATCAAGCACTGTGTTTTACAGAGCATTGCGCATGACGACCCAATCAATAGAATCAGACCAGACATGAGTGAATGGGCTGTATATTCTCTGACATCATTAGTGTCAAAGAAATGTATGAAGAAGACCTCAAAGGCAGGATTTAGGCCTACATTGAACAACTGTTTTAAGTAGCAGTCACTGACTTTATTTGTCTGTCTCATTTAAATTAGATGAAAAGAAAGAGGTTTCCAGGAGAAAAGGAGGTATTTTGCACACTTGGTCTGAGTGCATGCAGCAGACTAGCCTCTAGTGTGGTTTGGGATCTTGGAAGGCGTTTACTTGATCAACTTGTTTCTGTTTGCATGACTGAGCTGACATGAGATATTTTAAGCTACATATTATTTTTGTGTTTAACCAAGGAGTGTTTAACAATACCACCTTTTTAGTTGGCATTTATGAGTTTGCATGGACAATGATGACTTGACAAGGAACTACATGCACATGTAAGCCTTGTGTATACTTTTTCCAGGCTATTTGCAAATAATATTGGGGAACTGTGGACTTGTTATAAACATCCTAAATACATAATCTAATATAATGTGTACAGTAGTGATTCTCAACCTGAGAGCCAGGGCTGTCTAGGGAGCCATTCCAAACTTCCACAGCCACAGGATGATTTGAATTATTTACATGTAGTTTTTTCTTAGTTTTTTCCATAAGCCAAGAATTTATTGAAGCATACAGTACAATCACATGAATTTTGGTCAATTCATTTAATATATCACGACTTACAGTTTCTGTTAAAATTTTTTTAAATGATAATTTTATCATTTGTCATAATTACAGCAGAAATACTTGAAATATTTAACCTATATGGTGGGCCTTCGAATATTCTGTAGGACAGCTGGGGGCCGTCAAGTTAAGTAAGTTGAGAACCACTGGTGTGGAGGATATCACAAACATACTAATGAGGGAGTTCTGATGTGAAATGATTTGCATCATTACAACTAATTGCGTTGTGGCTTGAGGTGTGTGTAGTGATAAGATTTAGTTACCATGATTACATCATCAAACAAAGTTTCTCCCCAGAGCTTTCCCATACCAAAGATGTTGGGTTGAAGCTAAGGGAAGCTCTGAAACAGCAGCTCACCATCATCCACGAGAGAGTGGAGGCTAGGAAGATAGCTAAATTGGCTCTGGCGGAAGTGAGGAACATCCTAGCCAAAGAGGAGGAAGAGAGGACCTTGAACCATATCAGGGAGGAGTCGGAAGCCAAGGCCTGGGAGAGAGCTGAGGCTCGGCTGAAAGAGGAGGGGGAGAGAATAGAGAAGGAGGATGTGGAAAAGGCCATGGCAAGAATTAGAAAGGAGAAGGAGGAAAGAGAGAAAATGGCAGAAGTTGAAGAAGCAAAGAAGACTAAGAAGGTGGAAAAGGATGAGGTGAAGGAAAAGCCAGAGGCTGAAAAGAAATCTCACGAGAAACCCGTTGTTGATGACGATGCTAAAAAAGTTGAGAAAAATGGAAAAGGCAAAGAATCCAAGAAGGCTGCAGCTAAAAAGAAACCGTAAGGCAGCAAATCAGCTACTGTTAGATCTTTTTGTCTTTTGTGTAATTTGTTAACATCTGGCTGAATTTGATCTCAGGCCATTGTGAGTCTCCAGAGACCACCCCTTGTAGACTGAAGGCAAGACCTTTTGTCTCTATATATGAGAGATAATCAGTGATGTTAATCAGAACATTGAGATTAGTAGAAGCAAAAGCAGAACAAGGTGCTATATGCCGATCGTCATGTGGAAGTTCTTTTATTTCTCTTAAAAAATGTCTGTTTTGTTTGAGGGTAGGATTTTGGTTTACTCTTACAAAATACTAGCTATAGTGTGAGATTTCAACATTGATGTTCCTCTGATTTTGTTTATTTTATAATAAATACAACAGGTAGCTATACTTTATTAAGAGAGAACGTTCTTGTGTTATCAATAAACTATATGAATCCCCTGATTTGTTTTATCTGTGCCTTGAGTGCTTTTCTTTTCAGTGTTGATTAATACAAGAAAAACAAGCAGTTGTATTAAAACTGGACAAGAATACATGTCTGTTCACTAATAATATCTATAAACGTTTCCTTTTACCTCTCCTCTGTTTTCCTATTGGTCTGTTTCAAATCTCAAACACATACCTTTGTGCCTGTAAAACAAAGGACAGAAAAAGCTCTAGTGCAAAAGTAAACCAAATGTCATAAGGTTATGGAAATCCTTTTGAAAGTGTAATGCTCTTCATATAGAGGGCTTGTTTCATGTGACTGTATTCTACGCTTGCCTCATGTATGCACATCCACATGTAAAATCCTCAGGGCTGAAAGATAAATCCACCATTGAGACCAGTGAATCATTTGAGGGAACCCTTGCTGAACCTGTGGAAGAAGGTAAAGTAGAATCCTACACGGGAGCTTTATGCAATAAATAAGGGTGCAGTGAGAATTTGTTGATGCATAGAAATATCTTTGTAGGTCAATAAAATAAGATGCAGGGTTTTATAACACAAATAGACATTTAATGTGATATGCAAGTTAGGAAAGTAAATGTACAAGTTACTGCCATTGTTACAAGATGAAATTGCCTGACCCTGAAATTTATTTATATATATATATATATATATATATATATATAAAAAATTTTTTTGTCATCAAACCTATATTTTTAGTACATTTTAAAAGTATATGCAAAAAATAAGATTTAATATAAGCATTAAACATTTGTTTGATTGCAGGGGAGTTGGCCTTATCTAGTGGATCATTAAATATTAACAGTGTTAATAAGGACGGTGTTCTGTGTGTATATATGTACCACCTGTGTGCTATGTAGAAATGATTCTGATGGACACTTTTATAACTGAAATGCCTGCCAGTGATGAACGAGTCTTACCACATACCACAAAAGTTCTTGCATAACATGACGTGAGAGTAATCGCATTGACCTGTTACAGAAGACTTGTATAATTGAACTTCAAATCTTAGTAAAGCATGTTTTTACAAGCGTGTTTTAGGACTGATAAATAAAGGCTTTCAATCCAGAAAAACAGACTGTTTTCCTTCAAGCTAAGTTGATTAGTTTTGTTTCTTAATCAGCTCCTGAAACTATCGTGGAGGAAGAAATCCAGGCCACTAAAGTTGAAGCAGCAGCTCAGCCACCACCGGGTATGGCTTTTATTATGTCCTTTGAAATTACAATGTGCAATTGTTGCTATTTGTTTACTCTCACATATTGTGTTGTGTAGCTGTATACATGTATGTATATACTACAAAAGGATCCAGTATAACGCAACCTAACCGCTGAATTGGCGCATTCACAAAGTTCTACACATCACATATATTGGCACCTACCAATAAGAGCATAGTACAATCTATTTAATATATTTACTATAATAGTTTATTCTCTTGCAGAACCAGAGGCTGTGGAAGAGGAGCCTGTTCCTGTGGAAGAAGAACCTCTGGAAGTAGACGAAGAACCCACTGCTGTAGAAGATGAAGTAGCTGAGGAGGAACCAGAGGTTGAAGAGGAGCAAGAAGTTCCAGAGGAAGAACCAGAAGTTGTGGAGGAAGAGCCTGAGATTACAGAGACTGTTCCAGTTGAGGAAGAGGCTTTTGAGGAGGCAGTGGAAGAGCCTGCAAAAGAGGAAGAGGTCATACCAGTTGAAGAACCGATTGAGGAAGCTGCTAAAGTGGAAGAAGCGGTTGAGGAAGTGTTGGAGGAAGAGGCTGCATCCGTAGAAGAAGAAATAGTAGAAGATGCTCCACTGGAAGAGGCAGTAGAAGAAGAGGTTGCACAGGTGGAAGAAGCAGTGGAGGTAGTGTTGGAGGAAGAGGCAGCATCAGTGGAAGAGACAATAGAAGAAGTAGTAGAAGAGGATGCACCAGTGGAAGAAACAGTAGAGGAAGCTGCACCAGTAGAAGCAGCTGTGGAGGAGGTTGTACCAGTAGAAGAAGCAGTTGAGGAGCTTGAACCAGTAGAAGAAGCTGTGGAAGAGGTTGTACCGGTAGAAGCAGTTGAGGAGCTTGAAACAGTAGAAGAAGCTGTGGAAGAGGTTGTACCGGTAGAAGCAGTTGAGGAGCTTGAAACAGTAGAAGAAGCTGTGGAAGAGGTTGTACCGGTAGAAGCAGTTGAGGAGCTTGAAACAGTAGAAGAAGCTGTGGAAGAGGTTGTACCGGTAGAAGCAGTTGAGGAGCTTGTACCAGTAGAAGAAGAAGTAGAGGAGCTTGTACCAGTAGAAGAAGCTGTTGAGGAGCTTGTACCAGTAGAAGAAGAAGTAGAGGAACCTGAACAAGTGGAGGAACCTGAAGCAACAGAACCAGTGAAAGATGTAGAAACACCCGAAGAGACAGTTGAGGAATCAGTCTCTGTAGAAGAAGCTGTAACAGAAGAGGAAGTTATAGAGGAAACAGATGAGTCATTTCAGGAAGATGAGGAAGAACAAGACTCCACATCGGAGGAAACAGAGCTTCAGGCAGAGAATATGGAAGAAGAGGAGGGTACGTTTTTTTTCTTTTCTTTTTCGCAGGTTCACTCAGATGGTTATTATATAGCAGCAAGAAATAATACCCAAAATATCTTATTTGTTAAAATAGTAGAGTAAGTACAATAATGTGGATGCCAACATTATCTGATAATATCAGATACTACACAGATAACAGAGGAAGTTATGCTTGCTTTGTTGTGAAATGTGTCTGTCTTTTTACAGAGGATGCAGCTGCTGAGGAAGAGCAGCCTGAGGAGGACGTAGCAGGTTGGTAATTCAATTTTATGGTTATATAAAAGATATAAAGAATGGGATGATTTCCTGATCTGTACAGTGTTGAGTCATACATTCTATGCTCAATGTCTGTTTTGGCTCAATGTCTGTTATCTTTGTCTTTATTAACTTGTAAATTTGTTTATTCATTTAACAGAGGAAATTGACCAAACAGAAGAACAAATTGAAGTAGAGCCCACAGGTAATCAAATTTTGTCCATTGAGATTCATTTTCATCATAGTTGAAATTTTTATCTCGTTAAGGATGTTTTTCTCATGCAGGTCACTTCTCCTCTCTTTACTTAGTTTTGCATTGTATTGTTTCTATCTATCTGTGTATCTATAGATATTTTTAGCGTTACTGCTTTATTGTCTTATATCTTTTATTAATGATTTGGTTATATTTCCATGTCTTTATTTTCTGTATGTAAATCTTTACATATAAATATGTACGTAAAGATGCTAAAATTGCGTGTTCAAGAAAGTCCTTTTAAAGCAAGTTAGTTCTCTCAGTAGCCATATTCATAACCAAACTAAAATCTGACAACAATATGGTACCATAAATGGTGCTCCTTATTAACCTCAAATGTATATGTG